CATTTTCTAAGATCTTAAGCTGAGAAGTCAAGTTTTTTATGTGGGCCCTTCCTTCCTTCCTGATGAATGTTTTTAGAGCTATAAACTTTCCTCTTAACACTGCTTTATCTGTGTCCCACAGGTTCTGGTAGCTTGTGTCCTCATTCTCATTTGTTTCCAGGAATATTTTCATTTCCTCTCTAACCCATTTGTTGTTCAGCAGTGAACTGTCTAATTTCTGGGTCTTTGATTTGATTCTCCCTTTCTGTGTGTTTTTAACTTCTATTTTCAGTGTATCGTGATCAGAAAAGATGGTTGATACAATTACTGTCTTCTTAATTCTGTTTTATGATCTAGCATGTGTTCTATCTTGGAAAATGTCATGTGCATAGGAGAAGAATGTGTTTTTGGTTTGGGGGGCATGAAAATCCCTGTGTATATCTACTAGCCTATCTCTTTCATTTCTTTCTTCAGATCCAGTACTTCCTTGCTGAGTTTTAGTTTCATTGATCTATCAAGAGGTGACAAGGCAGTGTTGAAGTCTCTGACTATTATTGTGTTCCTACCAATGTCCTCCGTGAAGTCTATTAGCAGTTGTTTTAAGTATTTGCTGGCCCCTCATTGGGTGCATATATGTTTAGAGTATAATGTCTTTTTGATGTACATATCTCTTGATTATTAAGAAATGGCCTTTGCTGTTCCTTCTTATCTTTTCCAGCCCAAAATCTTTGTTTTCAAATACTAGTATAGCTATCCAGCCTTTTTGACAGAGTTTTACTTAAAGAACTGCTTGCCATCCTTTGACTTTGAGTCTGTTTTCTCTGACTATTCAAATGTGTTTTCTTTTTTTTTAATTTTATTAAATCACATTTTTTTAATTTTATTGATTTATTTGGGATTTATTTGGGAGTATTTTGATTGGGGTAGACTAGTGAAATATTGGCCAGATGTGCTTCGGGTATCCAGACTGCCCTTGTAAGAGTTTGGTAAAGGAGACTGAAACAAGGGTTCAGTGCACTATGAAAGGGGAGATTAACTGGTAGCCAGGTGGCTGCCACCAGGAGACTGTGCCCCACACCACCGGTGTACCTGGGGGAGAAAGGTTTATGCGTTTGGTCACAGTTGAGTCCCACTGCCGGCACACTTGTAAAGACACAGATGTCCCCTCTCACCTAGGAGCTCATCTGGGCCTGAGCTATTATTTCTTTTCCTCAGTGTTCCAAATCTGTCATTTTAGAGTATTTATTTTTCTTTCCATTTGCAAACATCTTTTTTTTTGTTTGTAATTTGGTTTTATCTTTTGACTTCTACTCTGTGTGTGCGCATGTGCACGCATGCGCATGCTTGAAATCAGATACAAAAGTTTTTAATATTGAGTTTTATATGTATCATTTTATCATTATCATATCTTAGAAACTTATATTGTTTATTTCACCCTCGTTCCCTTCCTCCCTTTCTTCCTTTTCTTCCTTCCATAACTTCCCTCCTTTCCTTTATTCTTTGTGTTTTCATCATATTTACTTACCCATAGTAGAGAATAGATCTTATTTTCCTTCATATGTCTATCCAGATAATACTTTGACCTGCCACTTTATTTATCACAGAGTTTCTTTAACACACTAGAAACAAGAATGTTTACTTCCAAACTGTAAGAAATAGTTCTTTTGGTACCTTCTTTTTGGTACTTAGGGGTGGGTGTGGGTGTGGGTGTGTGGGTGTCTCTTGGAACTTTGAATGTAGGCTTCCAGTACAGATTTTACTGAAATGTTCTAGTAGCATCACTACCAACCATACTGTCCGTTGGCCGTTAGTGTGCTCCTTGGGATGCAGGGCAGATAGGACACCTGTGCATCTTTGAGTAGAAATGTTTGCATGCCAGCCAGAGGAAAAGGTGCATGTGCATTGGTGAAGCTTCCCTAGTGAGGCCTGGGGAAGGCCTAGAGACACTTCAGATTAAAGGGTCGCAGTGGGCCAGCTCACTCAGCCCACTGAATTTTTCTTTTTAATCACTGTAAATTGCAAGGGTATAATGTTATTCATGACTGAGTTTCAGGCGTACAGTGTTCAAGTGTCAATCCCTTCACCAGTGTCCCCTACTTCCCTCCCACCACACCCCACCTTGCCATATGGCAAGCACATTTTTTATTTCTTCCCTCTTCAGCACTGTGGTTTACAGTACTGTTACTGATAGGGTATCATGCATGTCACTTGACCCCTTTCAGCACTGCCTCCTCCTTCATTACATGAAGCAACTGAATCCCTTCAGCTGCTTTTTTTTTCTGGTGGTGGGGCACATCCAGTGATGCTCAGAGATCACCCTGGTAGTGCTTGGGGTGAGAGGGAACTATATGAGATGCCGAAGATGGAATCTCATATGGTTGCATTCCAGGCAAGCACCTTACCTGCCGTGCTATTAGCTTCTGTTTTTCAATCATATTTTAGTAGTATTTTTCTTTCTACTTTCTTTCTTCAGTTGGAAGGGATTCTTTTCAGGTTTTTGATAAGGATATGAGCATTTCCTGCCTAAATAAGTTCTCCTTGTGGTATCTGCATTGCCTCTAAATAGGAGTTTCTCCCAAGGGTCCTAGCTGCCTAGGTTTCAGTCTTGATGTTTGACTGCTACAACTCTGACAAAAATAAAAATTATGATGATAGGACCAGTTCATGTGCCATCATAACATACCACATCTTTCTCTATTCCTGTATTTATAGAGAAACTGTGCTTGGAAAATGAGATAAATTAAATAATCAATTTCTAATCTTTATCATTCTCTGTAGATATAAAGGAAAGCCAGTTTAGAGAATTAACAGTGAAAACAACTTTGAAAGGCAGTTATAAAGTAACAGCTATTGTAGAGCATGCTTTTTTATATCTTTGACCTCAAATTCCATATGAAGAGAGAGTGAAAAAGAGAGAGCTTGTCAGAAATAAACCTGAAGGACTATTCCTAGTGCCCATTACAGGCAGGTCTCATGCAGGTGGTTCTGTGTGTGTGTGTGTGTGTGTGTGTGTGTGTGTGTGTGTGTGTGCGCACGCGCGCGCACACACATGCATACATACCCCATTGATTTTGTAGGGATTCATACAGAGCACTGAGCCCCTTCCCTTCTTTCTTCTCCTCTTGCCACCCACAATCCATCCTGAACCTGGAAAATAATCTCTTCAAGAGACATAAATCTTCAGCGTCACCGCACTCAAACAACCAGGCCAGATTTCATACCTCTCCATGCCCTGCAATATTTTTCATAGTCCCACAAGCCTTCCTGCCATCCCACCTCAGCCACCACACCCTCTGTGATTCTGGGTCCTCCACTTGCAGTAAACTGCTTGAAACTTGAATGATTTGAAATTTCCTCCAGTTGGGCAGAGAGGATGCTGTTCTGTCACAAGCCTGACACCCTGAAGGACCCAAAACAGAGCTCCCAAGCCAGGCTTCAACTGTGATGGGTCAGCTGAATGATGCTTCAGTGTAGATTGGTGCAAAAGTTGTATGGATTCCACTGGAACTCATCTTTACCTTGGGAACATCCCATTTTTTCCCTGGCAATGAAAAACATCCCCTTCGCTGGACAGCGGATGGCAGCAGTGAACTTCAGCTCCTGTCAACCAGAGGATGCAATTGATATTCTCAGTAGACTGAGTTGACCACTCTAAACTGAAGCATCATTCTTTCCTTCTCTGCAGTTCTTTAAATTTTGAAACAATTCAAATTATAGGAAATTCACAAGAATAATATAATAAATTCTGGTATATATTTTACCCATGTATTACCGTTGTGAACATTGTGGATATATTTAATATTTCTGCTTCTAGCCTTCTTACCCATATACCCACACTTCATTTTTTTCTGGCTTTTGGGCAACACTCTTTGGTGCCAGGACTTACTCCTGGCTCTGTGCTTAGGGATCACTTCTGGTGGCACTTAGAGGACCATATGGAGTGTTGGAGATCAAATCTGGGTCATACACATGCAAGACCAGCACCCTATCTGCTGTACTGTCACTCCACCTCCTCCCAACCCTTTTTTTTCTGACCCATTTGGAATTATGTTATTCTTCAACAGTATTTCAGCACAGAATTTCTCTGAGCAGAGAAATAATAAACACAGTACTATGATAAATTTGGAAACTTAGCATTAATGAATTCTAGCTTCTAAAGTGCCCATTTAGTCCAATTTTACCAAATATAAGCCTTCATGCAAATGAGAATTTGATAGTCTCTCTGCCAGTGTGTTTCTGTCATTTTTGTCTTCCTTTGTCCATAAGTGTCATTGGCGTGAATCTGTCTGTCCAGGAAAGACTTCATTTGCACACTTTTGGCAGGAGCCCCCAGGTCCTGCCAGTGTAGGTCAGGTACCTCCCTAGGTACCCGATGCACTAGGTTGACTTGAGCACATGAAGGAGAAGGCGTACAACAGTGTCTTTATTATGAAGTTACTATTTTTCTCTTTGTAATAATACCAAGGGAAAGGTACTAAGAGACAGTTGAAAGTAGCCCATTTACTATCCAGCTGTGCTGTTGTTGGCACCCCTTGAAAACTTCTTTCCAATGGGAATTTTTGGCAATCTGCCACCGATGGTTTTCTGTTCCCTCCTTCCCTTTCTATTTGTTTAACCTGTTTTAAGGAAGAACTTTTTGTTTTCTCCCTTCTTTAGCAATTCATTTGTTATAACACCATTATGTCCCCGTGAATTGCACTTAAGCCAAGCTCCTTTTTGAAATTATCATTCTTTAATGTTTTGTCACAAAGCAATCCAGCTTCATTGTACTTCCACTCTAGCACTGGTTCCAGCAGAGCTGCACAGAGTCTATGGGGACTCTTAGTGGGGATGACAGTCCTCTCTGTCACCTGTCTCCAAGGAAGGAGCTCCCGTCATAGTCACACTGAGAAAGTGTGCTTTAGCCTGTCTCATGTATGTAATATGCATATATAGACATATATATGCACGTATATATAAATATATATACATATATGTTGTCTACATTTTGCATTTACAGTCAAATTCTTTTCCCTCCACAGACTTTTTCTACTTCGTGACAGTCAGAGTAATCCAAAGGCATTTGTACTCACACTGTGTCATCACCAGAAGATTAAAAACTTCCAGATCCTGCCTGTACGTATTGGTATCTTTATACTAACATGCTTCCTGGGGAAGGAGGGCTAGAACCACACCACACAGTACTCAGAGGCTATTCCTGACTCAGTGCTCAGGGGACAATATGTGGTATAGGGAACATAGAGCTCCCCAGAGCAGCTGCGTGCAAGGTAAGCACTTTACCTCCTGAATCTCTGCCTCAGAGCCCCTGATTTTTTTTGAAGTTTTAAAAAGATAAATTACATGACTCTAGGTTATTAAATAATTGGCAGTTCCAAGCTCTTAGATGAGGTAGGTTAAAGAATATCTTGAGAGGTTTGTTATTTAAAATTGGGAGCAGTGTTTCCCTTGAAGTAGTACTGAAAATGGAAGTATTGTGCTATGTGATTGCAGCTTCTGGGAAGAGCAAGGTCATGTGATGTAGATGGGCAGTGTAGCCAGAAGCCAGGGCAGGAGTATGCCTGGTCAGCTAGAAAGACAGGCAGAGAATAGCATTGACTCTTGTGACTTTATCCTTCAGCATTAAGAAGAAAGGCATTGTATAGCAGATCCAACTGTTATGACTTCATAGCTGCTATGAATATAATTTCTGTACAGTAGTTTCAACTGTTGGAACTTTATTCCTATGATGAAAACAGGTATCAGACAGTGAGTTTGACTGTTGGTCACTTGCCTTCTGTGTGGAAATGTGTGATTAAAGTGGTTTGTGCGAAATTGAGACAAAAAGGTTTAGACAACTGACCAGTGATTACATAACCTCCCAAACAGAAGCACTGCTCCTTCACCTTCATCCCTGAATTAGAAAACAGATTCGACCTTTGAAAGGTTCCCAAAACATCACTATCAAATGTATTAGATCATAGCAGTGTTTTTCTTGAAGTATGGTTAATTATTATCAAACTAAACACTTTCTTTGGTGCCTTGTAAGTTCAGATTTCTAGTTGTAGTTTGGATATTAAGGGGGGAGTTGTCTCCAAGAATTCAGTGTTTAGTTGGGAATAAGAGATACCAAATAAATCTTAAATGTTTTCTTAGTGAATTGGTAAGTCCTTAATAAACTGTTTCTTGTGGGACCCAAATCCTGGAGGTAATCTCCTGAAATAAGGTAGCCAGATTATTGCCCCTCAGAAAGTTGATTCACAAAATGAAGGTCTGAGAAGTCTTGATACTCTGAGTGCATCTGTCTCAATAGACTTAGGGCTCAGTAGCAGACCTGGCGTTTCCCAAAGGTGCTTGAGCACAGCACCTCAGCTGACGGCCTCAAGAAAGAGGCTCTGACAGGAAGTACACACAGCAGACTGAGAGGGCTCCTCAATCACTTCTGTGAACTTAGAGAACCCCCTGCTGAGCAGCATCTGTGGCCAACCAGCCACCTACTGCATTTGAGTGTCGCAACCACAGCTCTAAGGGATTCCCATGAACCAGGATGAAGAATAAAGTTTGGTCTGCCAACAGGCTTCCCATGCCCCACAAAAGACTGTATATAAACCTATAAATTGGTTTTGGAGAAAAAGTTCTTTATTCATGACTGTATAGGTTTCTGCATTGCATTTTCTTCTTCACACTGATGTTTTCATTCTCTTATAGTCTTGAAAAGTACTACTAGATGGTGGGCATACATATGTAATTTCATTATCCCTAAATCACCCCAGTCCTGGGTGTACTTTAAGGACTATAGTTTAAAGCTTACAGCACAAGACTGGTTTCTGGGCCCCAAAATGACCATGTGAGGTGCCTGTGATTCTGGTAGGATCAAGTTTATTACTTGACAGATTCAGAGCTGCTCTTCTCCACGTGACTCTCCCACTCTGCTTTGTATTAAAGTGATGGAATTTAAAATTCATTGTGTTAAATTAGATGTTAGGAATAGAATTCTTTCTGGTAGATATTATAGAGTGCTTTCACTTGAATATAAATAGATACCAAATCCTCCAGATCCAAGGAAGGTTAGATTCTTATAGAAATCTAGCATTTGCTTCATAATAGGCAAAATATAATTGGGGAGGTGGTGTGGCTGAAGAAATTCCCCCATGCTAGGATTACAGTTAGGATCCAGAGTTTCATACTTTTTCTTCAGGCCCATCTGTATGCGTGGACACTCAAAGGTTAACTGGACCACCTCACTCTTCCGTGGACTGTGCTGTCTGCATGGATACTCTAAGGCCATCTGGTCAACCTCAAGTGCAAAGGGAGCCAGCACTTTAAGAAATGGAGAATAGCTTGCTTGGTAGTCCTGAGTAACTGAGCAGTGCCCCGGCACAAACACTTCTTTCTTTGACCTCATCTTTCCCATCCCTTACTGCCTTGTAGCTAACCTTGTTAACCCCTCATGGAATCATTAGAAACCAGTTATAGGCAGAGATAGAGCTAACTCTGATTGTGAGTTCTATTGTGCTCCCTGAAGTGTGGCATCTAACATGACAGGAATTCTTATGTCTCTCCAGTGCGAGGATGATGGGCAAGTGTTTTTCAGCCTTGATGATGGGAATACCAAATTCTCTGACTTGATCCAGCTTGTTGACTTTTACCAGCTAAACAAAGGAGTGTTGCCTTGCAAACTCAAGCACCACTGCATTCGCGTGGCCTTATGACCTCAGATTCACTCTTGGCTGAATACTGGAGAAAGTTGACACTGGAATGAAGGAGAGAACATGCATCTATTCTACACCTTCAGAATTGGAGGAAGAGTGGTTCATTCGGTGCCAACCGACCAAGATTTTACTAGTTTGTTGGACCTGACAATGACTTGCTGCTTTTGATCCAGCGAGATTGCTTCCTCTCTGCTGACCAAATCAGGGAGGACAAGAAAGAGCAAGCGCAAATTTGAAACTAAACTGGAATGATCATCTTGGCTGGGCTGCGTAGGAACAAGAATCAGAGAGAGTCATTGGAAAAGAACTATTGCCCTGGAATAATCTTGACAATTAAAACTGATATGTTTACTTTTTTGTATTGATCACTTTTTTGCACTCCTTCTTAGTTTTTAATATTGTATTCAGCCTATGGTAGGAGGGGTGTGGCCTTTCAGCACATACAAGGCAAAAGAGTGGCAGCCTTAAGAAATTGAACAGGGGCCCCCAAGTCTTTGCAGAGGGTGATTCCCACCCTCTGTAGGTCACGTGGGTAGACTCAGCTCCCAAATAATGAAGCACCCCCAGTTCTTCCCAGTATACTTGAAGCGCTCCTTTAAAGAAAAAGGTGTCACCTGTGGTAGGTATTTGGCACGTTGTGTGGCCCATCAAGTGATCAGTCTGTCAGTTTTGTATGCACAGATGTCCTATACTATTTTTATGTCTTGTCTTCCACCATTTAGGAGACTTGATTTCTTTTGGAAACATTTCTTCACTGTTCACAATATGACAGGGCTGAGTGACCTTGCTCTGGTGCGATGCAGACCAGCCTTCTGGAGCTGCACACAGTGTCCACTTCCTATGACGTGGACGCCATGCTGCGTTGCCCGTTCTGGAACTGTCACTGCCTTTCCCTACAGGGGTATGAGTCCTTTCACAGCTACTCTCCCTCAGGGGACTAAAGAACCTAAAAATATCAGAAGTGGCATCTGGTTGCTCAGCTCTCTGCAGTGCCCCATGGGTTTCTATGGTGATAAAGATGAAAAGGGCACAGCCACAGCCTTGTCTCAAATGGTCTTTGCTTGATGACCTCTGTCCTGCTGAAAACCCCTGTAGGCCAGTGGATGTGAGGCAGCCAAGGCTCCTCCTCTGTTTGGTTTACAATCACAAGTACCTCACAGCCGTGTGGACATTGAAGACTTGTGTGAACACAATACTGCTTCCTGCTCAAGGAGCTGAGTTAGATGGGGCCTGAACTCTCCCCAGAACCGCTGCCCTGTCCCATTAGCTGAGTCCCCAGGCATGAGAATTGGACAGGTTTGCCTTGCATCCCTGCAGGGCAGAAAGGGCTCTCTTTATAAGCATACCTACAATGACGAGAAATGGTATCTCTTTCTGAGATTGCAGTCCTTAAGGTGTGCCCTGGAGGTGTGCTAACCACCAGACTGCCTCAGTTTCCACCCACTGCAGTACCCCCCCAAGGAGCTTCCACGTGGTGTAGAACCCTCATACCAGGCTTAGTGCTACATCTCTGCGGCAAGTTATATCTAGGTATAGAGACACTGTATTTTAGTTTACAGACCACACTAGTTGAGTTTCATGAAATGTCTACTTATACAAATGAAGAATTTTTAGTAGAACTTGTTTTTAACCACAAAAATTTAATTGCATTTTCTTCTTTCATAGCCAGTTAATCTTTGAAACCGTTGAATAGTAGGTCATTCTTGAGTTCACACCTAGCATGCTTTCACTGAACTTGTCTTGGGGACTGATGGTTCAGAGACACTGTTAAATCATTTTTGTCCTCACTGGTCGGAAGTAAAACCTTAAGAAAAATAAAATAAAGAAGACCTCTGATTTCTTTTTTCTGTTTACATACATCAGTCTCCACCAGTGAGATGAGACTCTCCTGCCTCTCCAATAGACAGCTAGTATTGCAGTATTTTATATTTATAGATATGCATTTTATTTAATAGAACAAAAGATTGACTCTGACTCACAGTTTTATATGTAGCTGGTTTGATGTAGTGTTTTGTACCTTCCAGCTGAAGTGAATTGCTTGAGAGTGTAAACTTCCTAGCAGTTTCCATAACCCCTGCTGCTGCCCTCGAGATGGGCAGCTGGGAATTCCACCGGAAACAGCCAGTCCCTCGAGGGTGCAGGTTTCCAGCCCAGCCAACCAGGGGCTGAAGGACATTCGACTTTTATTTTTGTATTTAAATGATATGAATGTAAACGGGACAGCTCAGGGTCATTTTGGAGCCTGTTGACTTTATTTTTAATCGTTTGCCTGTGATTTTCTTTCAAGTGAAAACTCCAACAGTCTAAAATACGTTGAGAAGAAAGACACCAAATATTTTAGGTATTGGAGTTGCATAGGTGAGCTCTGTGACCTTAGAGATCAGAGTTCCAGAACATTTATTTTGTTTGCTACACTTTGAAGAAACATGTGCCTCAGTCTAGATGTTTTGTCTCGTATCTGCACTTAATACCTGATAGTTTGACCAATCAGTGTGTCCTTTCAGTGCGGGGTTTATAACATCACAGCATCGCCACTGTGACCATGTAAACATTTTCAGGAAATGCAGAAGGTATTAACTTCAGAGACAAAACCTTTATTCCATGTGCTTTGCTTTATTCTGTACATAACTCTTTGACTTGTGTACTTAATTGTAATCTTTCCGGTATTTTTGTACAAATAAGGGACTGATGTTCTGTTTCTTGTAATTAGAAATAAACATGAATACAGTGTTCTTCATTTTCCATTGCTTGTCTTGACTCTTTATAAATTGTAAGACACTCCAGCTAGCCAGCCACTAAGAACCTTTGGAAATAATTTTGAATATTAATATCATGCCTCTTTCCATTTGGTAGGAACTTAACTGAGCCGCTGAAACATGGATTCTTCTTCCAGCCTGCCATATTTGCAGACTCACCAGCACTGTTGCTCTGCTCCCACTGGGGTCCCAGAGCCTCAGTTGGCTTCTTCCTGCAATTTCTTTCAAAGATCTCAGGAATTTAACAAACAACTCAGGAAACTCAGAAAAGTTTCATGTCTTCCCACTGCAGTAGGAAGGGACATGAAACAGAAATTAGCAACATAAAAATTAGGGAGATGAATAGGATGAGAGTATATGGAGAGGGGCTGGAGTGATAGTACAGTGGGTAGGGCATTTGCCTTGCACGTGACCGACCCAGGTTCGATTCACAGCATTCCATATGGTCCCCTGAGCACTGCCAGGAGTAATTATGAGTGCATGAGCCAGGAGTAACCCCTGTGCATCGCCAGGTGTGACCCAAAAAGCAAAAAAAAAAAGTGTTTGGAGAAAACTCATTGACTTAAAAATGATTCTTAAGGACTGGAGCGATTGAACAGTGGGAAGGGCATTTGCCTTGCATGCAACCGACCCGGGTTTGATTTCCAGCATCCCGTATCGTCCCCCGAGCACTACCAGGAGTAATTCCTGAGTGCATGAGCCAGGAGTAACCCCTGAGCATCGCCGGGTGTGACCCAAAAAGCAATAATAATGATAATAATAATATCACGGTCCTCCCGTTGTTCATCGATTTGCTCGAGCGGGCCCAGTAATGTCTCCATCATGAGACTTCTTGTTACTGTGTTTGGCATATCAAGTACGTCACGGGTAGCTTGCCAGGCTCTGCCGTGTGGGCGAGATACTTTCGGTATCTTGCTGGGCTCTCCGAGAGGGGCGGAGGAAATAATAATAATAATAATAATAATAATAATAATAATAATTCTTGAATGGCCAAAAGAAACTCTGGACAAAATAAAGATACATAACTGAATGGGAGAATATATATGCACGCAATACATTAGATGGAGTAATGCCAAAAATGCATAAAAGTACAGCTCAGCAACTAAAAACCTATTAATCGCATTTGAAAAATGGGGAGAAGAAGAAAAGGACATAGGGGTGGCCTATAGACATACTAAAAAGTCTTTGTCATTTATGATATCACTTCACACCATTGAGAATGGCATATATTGAAAAAAAAGAAAATGGTAAACCTCAGGTGTTGACAGGGATATAGGGTAAAAGGAACCCTCATTCACCATTGGTGGGAATGTACTTGGGTTCAGGCTCAATGGGAAAAATATATATACAATATGGATATTTCTTTTTTAAAAAAGCACTTCTGTTTGGCCCAACTATCCACTTTTAGGTATTTACCCTCAGAACCCAAAAACATTAATTCAAGAAGATGCACAAGTACGCTAACTTAGTGCTTAGTATAATAGCCAGGCTATGAAAACAACTCAGATGTCCAACAAACAAGTGGATAAAGAAGGTGTAATATATACAGTGAAATAATATGGAGTCACAAGAAATGATCAAATAGTTTGCTGTCTGCCTCATGAGCTGAGGGAGAAAGCAGCTGAAATAGAGACAGGATCACTAAGACAATGATGGGTTGGAGGGATCAATCAGAATGGGAGATGTGTGCTGAAAGTAGATAAAGGACCAGACATGATAACCTCTCAGTATCTATATTACAAACCATAATACCCAAAAGGAGAGAGAGAATATGGGGGAAATTGTCTGCCATGGAGGCAAGGGGAGGGTTGAAAAGGGGTCATGTATGGGTAACGTTGGTGGTGGAGAATGTCCACTGGTGGAGAGATGGATGTTTGATCATTGTACGATTGTAACTCAAACATGAAAGCTTATAATTGTATCTCACAGTGATTAATAAAAATAAAGTTTGCTGCAAGTTTGATAGAACTGGAAGGTATCATGTTAAGCAGATAAGTCAACAGAAACAGGACACATGTCGGATAATCTCTCATCTGTGGCATACAGGACAAAACAAGGAAGTAGGGATAACAAACCTTTGGCCCTGGGCCACAGAACAGAGGGTGCCAAGCTAAGAATGTGTTGGAGTGAATGGGTAGGAATGATCATGTGGACTGGAAGTAACAGACACTAATGAGACTCTTGGGCACTGCAGTGTTGCAAGATGAGGTCGGTGTATCAAAAGCAAACCACATAGCCTAAACTAGTTTAAGCAGCCATGTGACCACCTCTTCAAGACATCAGGAAATTTAGCTTCTCCATTTGGTGGTAATGGAAGATTGAGATTGGAAAGGCTTAGGATTGCATTCAACTGTGATGAAAGCAGCCTCAGAACAGAGTGCTGGCATAATCTGCACAGCAGCAAAGGACCTCAGTGCTTGGGACCTGCTGCCACCTGATAATGGAGGCAGTGCAGGGCCTGCTCTGACAGCAATTTCCACACACCTCAAGCACCCCAGCCCTCATGAAAGGAAGGGAACCAATCGCTAGGCTTGTTCAGGACCCAAGCCCCCCAGGTCTCTACCTGGACTCCTTTCCAGGCTCTGCATCAGGAATCTGCACTGACTCCCTCTGAACTCCTTTCACTGCCTACACTGTCCAGTGGAACCTGTGATCAGAGCTTTCCACAAAGGATGCTTTTTGTGGCCCCAGGTTTCCCTCTTCCCAACACGCACACCCCAACCCGCCAGCCTTTTCTATCTTGACCCTCTCTCACTGGCCAAGCAGGACCATGAAACTAACTCTATTCATCTTCCAAGGGAGGCACAAACAGGAGAATACATGTGCCGTGTAACTGAAGCACATTAGCTTAATTAGTTTAAAAGTAGATGAGCGGATCACTTTGTCTTTGATCCTGTATCAAATTCAGTTGACAGAAGCACTCAGACAACAGCCCCCCTCCACAGGGGTCTATTCCCATTTGGTATGTCAGTAACTCCCCATCACCCTGCCCAGACAGAGTTCTAATCACTCCTGAATTTTAAAAATAATAATAATAATGGAATTGGAAGCAAGAAACTCAGAGACAAAGCATTACAAATAATAAAGGACAGAGTATTGCTTCTTTTTAAATTTTTATTAGTGAAACACCATGAGGTACAGTTGTAGACTTACAATTTTTTGTGCTTGGGTTTCAGTTATACAATTATTGAGAACCCATCCCTCCACCAGTGCCCATTCTCCACCTCCAGTACTCCAGTATCCCTCCCACCCAGCCCCCCATCCCACCTCACCCCTGTGCCCTGTGGCAGGGCATTCCCTTTTGTTTTCTCTCTCCTTTGGGGTGCTGTGGTTTGCAAAAGAGGCATTGAGTGGCAGTCATATTCAGTCTAGAGTCTACTTTCACCAAGCATCTCCCATCCTGGGAGGAATCCTCCCAACACCCTTTATTTGGTGCTCCCTTCTCTGTCTGAGCTGCCTTTTACCCTAGCATGTGCAGCTGGCCTCCAAGCCATGGAGTGAACCTCCTAGTACTTATCTCAGTTATTCTTGGTGTTAGTCTCCTATTTTGCTACTTTATATTCCCCAGATGAATGCAATCAGAATATTACTTCTTAAATGAAAAAGAAATCCGGGATCTAGTAAGTTTCTAGTAAGACTTGCCACCTCCTACTTTCTGTAATCATTGTTTAATCCTTACTTTCTTATTCTACAAGTTTTGACCCCTTTTTGATTTTCTGAAAGTGTCCATATTGGCTTTTGAATTCTTTGATTGAAATCTACTGTATGCAAGCTATATTGTATTGTGACCCCATAGTCATAAACTGGTGGTTTATGACAAAAGGCTGGCCGCAGTAATAGTACAGCAGATAGGGCATTGTCTTGCATGCGGCTAACCCAGGCTCAATCCCCGGCATCCCATATGGCTCCCCCAAGCTTTCCAGGAGTGGTTCCTGAGCACAGAGCCAAGAGTAAGCCCTAGGCATTTCTGGATGTGACCCAAATACCTAAAACCAACAACAAAAACGTTTTCTTAGTCTGCTCTTATTCTGTAGTTTTTGGTCACGAGACAGTCTAAGCTGATTTCATGACCTATCAATCGATTGAGAACATTGATTTGAAAAACACTGAGTTGGAGAAAAAAGTTGGAGAACTGACAGCAACCAGTGTAAAGATGGAGTATTCAGGACAAGGTAATGCTAATGAAAGCACTGAAAAAATAATGGGGCTGAGTAGAGATTTTAGAGTCATCAACTGTTTTTTGACAAAGGAGCAAAAGCAGTACAATGGCTAGGAGAGAGTCTTAAGGAGGTGGTACAAAAACAAGTGGATATGCACTTATAAAAGCATCAGGCTAGACACAAATTTTCTACCCTTTACAAAACTTAAAATGAATCAGAGACCTAAATATTGAAACTCCTAGAAGAAAAAGTCCCAAACAATATATATGTATGTATATACAAATATACATACATATATATAAATGCATGTAGGATTTGTCAGTGACTTCTTAGCTGTAACATCTAAGAAAGAAAAGAATTGATAATCTGAATCTTAATTAAATAAAAAAAAAACTTGGAAAAAAAAAACCCACAGAATTGCTTTTCTTGCCAGCCCCTAAACAAAGTGGCTTTTCCAGGAAAATCTCATTTCCTGACATTTCTCCTCTGCAGTCCAGCCACACAGAGGCTTCCCACCACCCTGACCCCCACAGCTGCAGCACAGTCCCACAGCCATTTCTCTTTTGATTTTTCTCTCCTCCTAGAGTCTCCTCAGTCACTCTCTTGTCTCCTGTGAATCCTGAGTGTGTCCCTACGTTCATTCCCAGAGACCCATAGGCCTCCCAAGATCCAGTCTGTCAAGCCCTGGTTAGAGACACCGCCCTCCCTTGCTGGGAAACTGTCTAGAACTCATCTCCCTGCCCCAGGCCCTTAGCACCTGCTGAGTCCCGCACTGGGCACGCAGGCACCAGGAAGACCAATTCCCAAACCCTCATCAGATTTCTCG